TGTCACATGATCTCTCAGAAATCAATCTAATATGCAGATTTATTATCAATATTGGAAACCGTTTTTGTAGCTTAATATTTTTTGGAATCTGTGATAATTTTTTCAGTATTCTTTGAATAAAAAGTAAAAAATAACAGCATTTATTTAAAAAATATTTTTTAATAATGTACACCGTTCAAATGTTTGGGGTTGGTAATTTTTTTTATTTTTTATTGGGTTTTTTTGCAGCAAAGATGTGTTAAATCAATAAAAAGTGATGGTAAAGACTTTTATTTTATTTTAAATATTTCTATTTTGAATAAATGCTGTTCTTTTTAACTTTTTATTCATCAAAGAATCCTGATAAAATGTCACGGGTTCCAAAAATGTTTCCAACATTAAATCAGATCAAATGATATTTTACAGTATGTTCAAATGGAAAACTGTTATTTTAAATTGTAATGATACTTCACAATATTACTGTTTTTTTCTGTTTTTGATCAAATAAATGCATCCTTGATGAGCAGAAGAAATGTCTTTAAAAAAACATTAAAACATTTTATTTTTGAGTGTGTGTGTGTACCTACTTAACCATATTTTGGGGACAAATTTGTACCCAAAAGTTAACTAAACCTGACAAAATCTCCAAAAAAAAACCTCCCTTTGGGGATGTCCTCATTTGTAAAACTGGTATAAAAAAATAAAGTAAATAAAGGTGTTTTTGTTTTTTTTGTTGTAAAAATGCAGAAAGTTTTCTGTAAGGTGTAGGTTTTAGGTGTATGGTTGGTGTAGGGCGATTAGAATATACAGTTTGTACAGTATAAAAACCATTACGCCTATGGAATGTCCCCATTTAAATGGTTAAGTGTGAGTGTGTGTGTGTACCTACTTAACCATATTTTGGGGACAAATTTGTACCCAAAAGTTAACTAAACCTGACAAAATCTCCAAAAAAAAACCTCCCTTTGGGGATGTCCTCATTTGTAAAACTGGTATAAAAAAATTAAGTAAATAAAGGTGTTTTTGTTTTTTTTGTTGTAAAAATGCAGAAAGTTTTCTGTAAGGTGTAGGTTTTAGGTGTATGGTTGGTGTAGGGCGATTAGAATATACAGTTTGTACAGTATAAAAACCATTACGCCTATGGAATGTCCCCATTTAAATGGTTAAGTGTGTGTGTGTGTGTGTGTGTGTGTCTTCAGTTTACTCCAGTCTTCAGTGTCGCATGATCCTTCAGAAATCATTCCAATATGATGATTTGCTGCTCGGGAAATATTTCTTATTATCAGTGTTGATATTAACTGTTGATATTAACAAATATTTTTGTGGAAAACACATAAGTAAAATTTAAAATCCTAAATTACCACTTTTATTCACCAAGGAAACTTTCCATTTATCGAAGAATTCTGGAAACAAATGGATCACGTTTTCCACAAAAATATTAAGCAACAAATACTGCCTCAACCTTAATAATAAGAACTATTATTAATAACTAAGCATCAATAATAATTTATAACTGATCACCAAAACAGCATATTAGAAGGATTTGTGAAGGATCATGTGACACTGCTGCCTTCTGTATAAATTGTAGACTGCATCTTCTGCACAAGAACATTCTGCCTTGGCTTTTTGTGAATGTTTTTGTTTAAGATTAAATATTTCAGTTATTGACCTTCATATTAACCTTGTAATCTATTTTAGCTTTGTGAAATTAGACGCTCTTTAGGATTTAAAACGTCTCTGGCCTGGTTTAAACCCCAGCACACTGCTGCCACCCTCAGGTGAGGAATCTCATTGCTGAGAAAGGAATTGGGTGAACTGTGTACCTGATTATCATTTTATGTATCATAACTCTTAATCTGTACACAAAGAAAGTTCAAAGTATTGGGGTTAATAATTATATCCCAAAACATACCTTTTTGAATGACCTCCAAAGGAGAAATAGATAACATGTATTTGATCAGTTTTTATGTTCTTATCCTTTTCCATTCAGCAAATTCTAAACAAGCTATAACAGTTTAGAAATATCATCCTGCTTGCTTTTTTGAATTCGTTCACAGCATGATTTCAATAACTTGGCTTTTGAGCCCAAAATCTCACATTTTCTTGAAACAGGGCTTTATAAGATTTTTGCCCTTAGAAAAAGGAGTGTCCGCTTAATCTGAGATTATACAGCTGTCTCTTTTAAAAGATAGGAAGCTATGTGACAGGTTGAGCAGCACTGTTATGCCTCAAAGTGAGATTATCCCTATGCAAAGTCTCTCTCTCTCTTTCACTGTCTTGAGCTATCTTTGGAGTTTCCTTGGCTTCTCAGCGAGATGAAAGCCACAAACTTCTGACATATACTGGATTTCACAGCATTAGAGATGAAGCCCTTTCTCACAATGCCCTCATTTATTTTCAGTCTCAAGTATGTTGAGACATCAGGATTGTCTCACGCGGTGATAACAATTGAACTGTTTGCTTTTATAGCTCTGTTTCATGTAGTGTGCGAGTGGTGGTGTAACAGGCGCTGTAGTATTTGACAGGGGCTACTGGAAATCGGCCACTCTTTAAACTTTCTCTTTGACATTATAATTCTATTTCCAATAGACCATTTTTCTTGTCAAGGTCAATTATCACTCTTGACCTTCTCTTCTGACTTAGTGCTTTAAGGGAAACAGTTGGCTTTGGAAAATGAATGAGAGTCATTTCTGAGGCTGACGGCTTGCACAAGCCTGGGGCCATGTTTCTGCTCTGTGCTCAGATGGTGGTGGTAAATTCCCTGTCCCTCGGGAAGGTTTATAGGCCATTTTGTACCTTACCCACTGCCTGGAGTACCTGGTTTTGCATCAGAGCTCTCCGTTTACTCCCCCTAGTTTCCATGCATGCAGGCCTTGAGAACTGACCAGGACGTAAAGGAATAGTTCACCCAAAAAATTCAAATTTTGAGAACTGGGTAGTAACTGATTATGTGCAGTCTGGATTGTGTAATCAAATTCCAAAAATTAAGTATTTGAAATTAGATTCAATTACATTTTAAAATGCTCACAATCAGGCTACAGTTACTTTTTTTTATTGATTATTTGATTACATATATTCACATTATAGCAATAAATTCTTCATAATTTATTATTTCTCCCTAATTCTTTTCCATCTTTTAAATTTTCCTTTCCGTTATGTCCACGTTATATATTTTCTTTGCATTTTATTATCAATGTGGTGCAGTATTATCCTATTTAAATCAATGTGATAAACGAGTTAGGTTAAAAGTAATCAAACAGTAGTCTGATTATATTACTTGAAATATGTAATGGATTACGTCATGTAATTTAGAATCGGTAAGTTATAGTATTGTTTATTGTATATTTGATTCAACAGTGGATTCAGTGTACATCGATTCCAAAAAATATATATTTTATAATATTATATTATTTCACTTCATTTTATTTTATGTATTTATTTAAATTTTTTACTTATAATATCAAAATGCAATTACTTTGCAGTTTACATCATCAGTGCCATGTGGCCTATTGGTTAATGTTAACCAATGTTCAAATAGCTATTTAGGCAGGATCTTGTTTATTGTCATGTTTTACTCATCGGTGATATTGTATTCCATGTTAGGCTACAATTAGAAGAATAATTATCACGTTGATCCCACTGTAATTGGTGGCCCGGTGAATGCCGATCACGCATGCAGAATGTGAAATCTATATGATGTTGTTTCCATCAGGGCTGTAGCTAATTTGCTGCATTAGCATTCCATCCATGCATCCGATCAGATACGTGTCCGGATGGAGAAGACGCTTCCTTCCAGCGGTTATATGGAGTAGAGGGCATCTGCTGACAGCTGCGTCAGGCCTCTGATTGAGCTCGATTTTGCTCGAGCTCCCGTGCACATAATGATGCTGCCTGTTGACCTTCAGCTAATCGGCACAGGCCTCACACTTTGATTTCATACAGCCGACAATCTGCTGTCAGCTCGGCGTTGAAAAAAATAATAAAATATGTATTTGCGGATGCTGATAAGTAGCCCTGATGATTTGTCACAAAGCCTTGCTATGTCTTTTGGGCTTTGTGATACTGTATAGCTACTACAATACAATATCTTAATATATCTGAAGTATAATAATTAATATCCCAATATTAATAATAATGCATTAAATATTCATAACTATTCACATTCAATCATTCATAATTCAGTCATTATTAATTGTGTAATTTTTCTTTAATATGTATCGTTTTTAATGTTTACTTTTCAAAATATTAACATTAAAATATAGTATATACTTAATAATTATTAATTAAATACAGCCATTTAAGTAAAATTTTATATTCAGAAAATTCCGTATTCAGAATGTCAATCTGAGATACAGTGGGATTTGCTATACATTTAAAGCACGTTTTAAAAATCTGTAACGTAAAGAGTAAAATGAGTTAGTTAATAATGTAGTTGGGGAGGATTTAGATGGAAGAAGAGGAAAATTTACTGTTGAGGCAGATGTACGTCTCACTAGCTGCTGTCTAAATTCACATTCACATGTATTGGATCTCTTATAAACCGTTTGTTTTTAGTTGGTTTAAATGTTTGGAAACCTCCATCTCATTTCACTCATCTTACCAGCAAACACAAACTTTGGCCCTCGCCGTCTGAATAAATTCAGTTTAAAGGTGTCTCTGGCCTAGACACAAGGCAGCACTGTTGAGCCAAATCTGGTTGAAATCCACAAAAAAAAAATTCCCCTCTCTAAAATATGAGTGGTGTTATTCATTTCCAGAATACAGAGTTGTTTGTGTTCTCCTTCACAAATTCCCTGTGAAAAAATTAATGATGCTAAAAAATCAGAGACTGATTAATATACAAGCTTATTTACAATCAGTTGCTGTTTGACATGAGAATGTTTTGCTTCATAAACACTTTGTCATCTGTTTTGCTTATACTTCATTAACTAGCACATATATTTAAAGCGTTTTTGCTTTTTGTTTTAAATGTATTGCTTTCTGTTTGTAACTGTGGCTTTCTTATTTTCCTCAATCTCTAGCCCACCAAAGCTACCTGTTGTGGTCTCAGGAGTTGTCACAAAGGTAGGTACACATGTCCATTGATTACATAACATCTAAATCAAACTAGGCCAGGTTGTCTCTGGTCCAACGTTTTGAGTTTTGTTGGTGTCTACCAGTTAACTTTCTATTAGCTTCGTCCAGAGCAACTTAGAGCAACCGCTGCTGTTTGCAAAAGATCTATTCATACCAAAGACTGACACCTGAATGTTCATGAGGCTAAATTCTACCCTGTACTCTAGGTGACACTGGTGTATAAATGCACCAGTTGGTCTGCCGACAGAGTAGAAAAAAGGAGAAGACCGTCAAACGGCTCTGAGAGAAACACAGTGACAGGATGCAGATCAAGCAAGCTGTTAGGATTAATTTTAAGTCCAAATAAATTGCCAGTTTTATGTTTTAAAGGGATAGTTCACCCAAAAATGAAAATTAATTAATTACCCGCCCTCACATCGTTTCAAACCCATAAGAACTTTGTTCCTCTTCAGGAACACAAATTAAGATATTTTTTATTAAATCTGATAGACAACAAAGTAACTACCACATTCAAGGCCCAGAAAGGTAGTAAGGACATCGTTAAAATAGTCCATGTGGCAAGAAATTGTTGAATAAAGGTGTTGTTTTTGTTTTCTTTGCGCACAAAAAGTATTCTCGTAGCTTCATAAAATTAAGGTTGAACCACTGATGTCACATGGACTATTTTAACAATGTCCTTGCTACCTTTCTAGGCCTTGTACGTGTCAGTTGCGTTGCTGTCTATGTAGGGTCAGAAAGCTCTCGAATTTCATCAAAAATATCTTAATTTGTGTTCCGAAGATGAACAAAGGTCTTACAGGTTTGGAACAACATGAGGGTGAGTAATTGATGAAAGGACTTTCATTTTTGGGTGAACTATAGCTTTAATGTCAGAATAATTGAACACATGGTACCTAATATACACAGAAAAAGGTACAAATATGTCATTTTAAGGGTACTGCTCCAGTGACAAGCTGTTGTACCCCAAAAGGTACAATTCTGACCCATTTTTTTCTGTATGTAATGTACACAAATAAAAAGTGTAATATTATACATTTCTATCATTTTATTCTATCATGGACATATTTAAATATGTCATTCTCATCTTATTGGTCAGTCAGTTTTACATTTAGACCAGGGGTGGGCAAACTTGGTCCTTCCAGGTCACTTTCCTTCAGAGTTTAGCTCCAACTCTAATCAAACACACCTGAACCAGCTAATCATTGTCTTCAAGACTACTAGAAAGCTACAGGCAGGTGAGTTTTATCAGGGTTGGATCAAATCTCTGCAGGAAAGTGGCCTGGAAGGGCCAAGTTTGCCTATCACTGATTTAGACATTTTAAACTGCTGTACATATAAAAAATATTGAATTGTCAGCATGTAAATGTTTATACTCCGTTTGAATAGCACTATAGGAACACCTTATTCATATTCAAACATTTACCTGCAAACAACTATTTGCCTCTGGTGTGAATGGTTCTTTAAATAATCAAAAGTAGCACCAAATTCGTTTTAAAATGTTTAAAATCACCCAAGCCCGAGGCTCAGACATAGACAGTTTGCTCTGATAAGTCTTGCATCACTTATTGAGATGATATCAATAGTCCAATGCTCTGGAGACTCTGTATGGGGTTTGTTGAAGAGCTAGTCTCATAGAGTCCACTCTGCTCTTTTCCAGACCGAGCTGACCTTAATCTGGTCCGCAGCCACGGGATTGGCCGCGTCTCAGGATTTATTGTGTTTTGATGGAGGCTGTGACATAATGCATCCGTCTGTGCTTACAAGGAGGTGTATAAGAGAGCATTGTGATTGATTACGCATGTCACAGTGTGTGACCCTAGATGCACATGGAGCACTTTTACTGAGGCAGTGGGCTCCTTTTACTTTGAAGTGATCTAAATAGTGCTCAAGAGACACAATTTCTGCAATATTTCCTCTCTAAATACTCACATCTGAGGCTCTTTTTGTCCTCTGGCAAGCTGGTAAACAGACAGAAAATGCCACGCTTGTGTTCAGTCTTGGACTGTCCACCCCGTAATCTACTTCAAAAGCTTCACATATTTGCTCTGAAAGACTCTCTCATACAGATTAAAGTGATGCTGAAGAATGTCTGCGGCTGCTGCTTTTTATCCTCACTGGGCATCCAGCGGTTGCACATCAGATGCTTCTGTGTGCCGCTTTTCTTTTCATGTTAATAGACGTGTAACTAAGGCAAGGAGGTCTCGGCATCTCTTAAAAAGTAGTTTAGATTTTAAAAAGATGGCAACCAAAATATATATACTTGATGTCTTTGTTGTTGCTGATATGAATCGTCATAATTAAGCAATATCACATTCGAGTACTGGATATCATTCTGAGCAACAGCATAGTTGTGAGTGTGATATTCCTTAGAAACATAAGTTATACAAAATTATTTTCAGTTGTTAAAATTACACAATTACATTCAATTTAATTTTGTTCATTTTCATTAAGTTCCTTGATCAGTTTTTAAACCCTGGCTATTATTGAGTCAGACACAATATGGCCAGCAAGTGTTTTCTTATTCCATCTTATTCTTCAAACAAAAAATAAAAACTTTCAGAAAACAATGCTTCCACTCTGGACTGCTCACATTCTCAGGTCTGGAATGCTGCGAACACAGCATTTATTGTTTATATGATAATATGTGTTTTAATCATATTTTGAATTAGATTTTTACATTTTGTTTTCATTTTAATTTTACTTAAGTTTTAGTAATTTTCTGCTAATGTCATGTTATTTTTTTATTACTATAAGAAATGTGTTTTTGTTTCAGTTTTAGTTCTGTTTAAGTTTGTATTTATCATTTAGTAATTTTAGTGCTTCAGCTTATTTCAGTTAGTTGCCAAAACAACTTCCAAAACATTTCCAAATTTCGTGAATTTTTTTTTCCGAATATTTATATTTTATTTCACCTTTATTTCAGTTAACACTAAAAGCCGTGTCCACCAAAACATTTTAGCCAGCTGAAAAAAAAATCAACTGAGCGCTTCTGCAGCGCAACGTTTTTTTGTTGTTCTTGTTTTTTCAGTTGAGATGCTTTTGCGAATTAAATATTGTTAGCAGTTTTTTGTTTGTTTGTTTTTTTTTCATATCAATATTCGTAGTAGTTAAAGAATCCCATCTGGTACAGACATGAATACTCCGAGACAAGCAATCGTAGTACAAGGAGGATGTGACCGTTGGTCGGGGTGGTATTTGCCCCGCTCCTCCTCTACTGTGATTGGACGGCTGACTACAAAGTGACAGTGATGAGCGCTGCTCAGCGCTTGTCACTCTTCTGGCGTTTTAAAAAATATGGCGTTCCCATTGAAAACAACTGGAAAAAACCGCTTTGGTGGACACGTGGCCTAATGGTTTCAGTTTTAGTTCATTACAGTATAATAAAGCCTGGCTCACAGACAGCAGTCATCAGTACTGGGCAGCTTTTCCCAAAATCATTGTAAGCCTAAGTAGACTGTAGAACCATTGACACCAATGGTCTCTATGATCAACTTGGCTCACAATGCTTTTGAAAAACTCTGCCCTGGTCGACAACAGAGCACTCTTCGAACACCCTTCAGCCAATCAGATTAGAGAACCATGACTTTTGTCCAATTATTGGTGTGATTTACTGCACACAAAGCATTTGCCATGTCACCATTATAATTAGGTGTGTTTCTATTGGTTGTCCTCCTCAGGGGGATAAAGACTTCACCCCTACTGCTGCCCAGGTGGCCCATCAGAAACCTGTGCCTGCGGTACAGAAGCTGCCCCCGGCCCACCACATCAACCAGCACATCCACCAGCCCCGGAAGTGAGCCTCACACAACTCTAGACCACCCCGGCCCCCCGCACAGGGCCAGGACCACACCACCCCAAACACCTGCTCAGGTTGCCAGGGATCTCTTGCCATCAAGCATTCCGTACACCCCCCTCCCCCTTCCGTCTGTGCCTGCAAGTGTCCTGTTTCCAACAGTATCATGACACGCGTTCCTTTTCCTGTTTCTTACCTGTAGATCATTGCAACACTAAAATTGAAAGCTCCATTGCAAATCACTAATCAGAAACATGTTAAATATGTGGGTCCACTTCATGAGGGATGCTTGGAGCTGTGTTTTATTTTGTTTTAATTTTGTCTTACATAAATAGTTCCAGAAAGATGTAAATTGTATAAATCTTTTTTTTTTTTTTTAAGTCGGTGAATGTTGTATATTAAGCATAAGGTACTAGGTGTGGCTATCTGAATAAAGAGTTAATATAAAACCGTACATGCCTTTTCGCTCTTGAAAACACATTCATAATATCAAATATCAGTGCTTTCACAACAAGTAGTAACATGTAAGGCTGAAATGATTTACAAAACTGTAATAGAGAGTATGTGTGCCTTGGGTTGAATTAATTTCAGAAATTTTTGGAGAATACATTTCCCAGACAAAATAATCAGTTATTGAAATATTGCAAATGAATGTAAAAAAATATAGAGGGGTAAATACTATAGCCGTGTGTGTGTGTACATTCTATTATTTTAAATTTTACATATACATTTTTATTATATTGAATTAGTTGCAGACATTTATATAGATTAAAAAGAAGAATTTCAATGTTTGCTTAAAAAATCATGCTAGAATTACCATATGATTGCTATATGTATGTGTATGTGTGTGTGTGTGTGTGTATATATATATATATATATTTATATACACACGCACACGTGTGTGTGTTTTGAAGAATCCAAGATAATAGAAAAAGTAACACAAGGTTAAAATTATCTTCAAAACAATGTTTTATCCCATTTTGAGCTGTTCATGACAGCAATCTGAGCTGAATTGTAGAATTTGTGGAGAGTAAGAAGTCGAGGAATTTCAGTACTCGAATTGCATGCATTGAAATTTAAAAAAACAATTGCCATGTCTGTTTTGTCCTATTAAATATTAATGTTAGTAAGAATATACAATCAGCTCAGCAGGAAAAGTTCATGTGTAATCCCATGGCCTACTTTTCATGGTCTATGAACTAGTAGAGCATAGCAAAGCCCGTCAGCTTCCTGTTCTCCTCAGCCTCAGCGGCGCTGAGCCACCAAACCTAACGCCACTCAGGATTTGCCCCATTCTCTTCCTCTGTTTCATTATCTCATGTTCTCCAGCTCTCCTCCTATCTCGCTCCATTCACTTTGTGTTCCACTCAGGTGTCGATAAGAGCCAGCAGCTGCCACAAACTTCAGGTTGTTCCCACAGCATGTACTGGGCCCAAAGCAGCAAGACTTATGCATACGTGCCGTTAGCAGACCAGCTGGCCAAACCTGCTGTTCCCACTTGGACAAGGTGAACCTCAAAGGCATGAGTGGCAGCTAAACCCTTACGAAATGTCATGTTTCAGGTCAAGGTTGTACTTTTCCTCAGCATGGTATCTGGAAATGGAGCACTGGTTTTGAAGCCAGTTCAGAGTGACCCAAACCCTGGGGTCTATCTGACATTCAGGCCTTCTCAGTGTATTTGTCTTTGATAGGCTATCAGAGCTACCACAGATCCCACGTCAGTGCTTTGGTTCTCCAGCAGAGGGCACTTCATTGTTTTTCATACAGTGTTGTCCTGAGGCAAGTGCTGACCTTGCAAGATTGATAAGTCCCTCAGTGTCTGTCAGCTCGTGCCGGTGACCTCAATAGCTTAATAAGGTGTGTGCTTCACCTTTACTCCTGCTCAAAGTTCAATAAATGGAGTCACACTTTGGATTTATAAAGTAGTTTTTATTCAAAAGTTACACTGAGATTTTTCTTCCAAGCATTGCTGGTCATTACTTTTGGTTTACAACCTAAAGTAGTGTAAACACAGTGTTATTTTAAGATAACAGGGTGACCTGACATTAGGTGTGCACTGGTCTTTGCATCTTTGTGAAATCAGCAGTGTGGAGTGAGTTTTGTTGGACACCGAGGCACAGTGGTGCTGTTGAGATGATGTGACGGTCAGTGAGAAGATATTTCAAACAGATAACACTACACATTCTTTAAAATTAACATTGCATTTTTCTGCATACAGAAGCATTCATATCTGAGATTTTTTTGTGATATGTTTGAATTTGGATTAACTGTTTCCAGCTCAAAGAAATCATAAGGGATAGCGGAGTAAGTTGTACCACTTTTTACTTAAGATGCCTCCTGCGAGAAAGAAATGAAAAAAACATATGTTTAATATTTCAGGATGCCTCCTATGTGTTTATAATAGGGCCCATGTTAGGAGTAAATGTCATGTCAAGGTTAAATCGAATCAGGGAAATAATTTACATATTAAATTAGCAAATGAGGGAGGAAAATATTTACTAATGTACAATACAGTACCTTTGTAAAGTCTTACTTTGCTGCACATTATTTGCATTTTCATATACCAAGATATCCAGGATAAGGTTAAATATTAAGAATATTTAATAATAATTTTCAGCGTTTATAATATTATTAGTAACAGTATTTCCTATATCTGAAGGCAAAGTTAAGTTTCACTATTAGGGGAGCCACTGGCACAGCTTGCCACAAAGCTATTGTTTTTGGGAAATGGTTTAATAATTCATGGCTAATCATTTTTTTTATGTTTTTAAAGAATTCTCTTCTGCTCAACAAGGCTGCATTTATTTAATTTTAAAAAATACAGTAATACTGTGAAATATAAATTAGATTAACTGTTTATATATAAATTAGAATAACTGTTTTTAATATGTTTCATATATAATACTGTGAAATTACAATTTAGAATAACTGTTTTGTGTGTATATATGTGTATATATATATATATATATATATATATATATATATATATAAATAATTATTAAATGTTCAGAAAAAATCAAATAAGATGCTGATCCATGATATCACTACCTCTTTTGCCGTCTTTCATTACTCGCTGGTGATTGTCTGTAGCATTTGTCTCTGAAATGTGTGCAAATACAGACAGATCTGCTGCCGAAATACCATCAACAGCTACAATGTTTAGAAAAATTGTTTAAAAATGAGGTATTGACAAAGTATGTCTGTTAAATACATTCACAATGTTACGGTTAAATCTGAGACAACACTAGCATTTGGACAACTCTAAAAAAATCAAAGAACCCAATTTTAAGAATGTAAACATAAAGTAGCATCTGGTTTTAGTAGTTTACTCATATTAGCTATTTTCTTGATGCTCAAAACACATGAAAATGGATTAAAGGAGCTGTTCACTTTAAATCCTTCACTTTACGCTATTTTAAAGAGGGTAAAAAGGAGTTGAGAAGCTTTATAAATATGAATTGTCTTTAAAAAAAAATTTTGAATCCAACATCAAAATTGCATTTCAAGTATAAAACAGTGAGCAGTGTGTCTGCACACATTTATTTCCTTTTGCCTGTAGTGAGTTGACTTTTCGTTATGGCCTCCAGTCTTTTCCTTTCTGCCTCCTCTGCTTTCTTTCGCTCCTCTTTCAGTTCTTTGTATCTCCACTTTGGGATCTGGAGGAACTGGTCGTCTACACAGCTGCTTTTCCGCCGCACTTTCTCCGGCACGTAGGTTGACGAAGGAGCCTTGGTAATCCTCAGCTTGGGCACCACCATACCTGGCCTAACGCTGCTCCTCCTCAGCAGGTGTAAGGGGAGCAGACTGGCCCTGCGGATGCCCGGGGAGGAAGAGGAGGAGCCGTCTGATTGGGCCTGGGGTTGCAGACTCGCACGACGATCTTTCGATTTGGGCACCAGCAGGACGCGGGAGTTCTGGAAGAGACGTTTGTAGTTCTCGAGGCGCTCGGGTCGCAAACTTTTCAGCTGCTCGATGCGTTGTTTTTTTAGTATCTCCTGAACAGAGTACCGGCGTTTTCCCACACAGGGCGGGCTGCCGGGACACACCGTTCGACACGCAGTTGCGATGAACGGGCTCCCCAGCGATGTTGTCATGCGCACCATGTGATCCAGAACCCCGTCTTCTGACGCCTCGGTGACGTTACTGATGTCAAAGAAGTCACGTAGTGTCTCTGAAATTTTCTGAATGCAGCCTTTGGGCGCCTGAGCTTTGGCCAACAGCGCAGGCAGAAGGGGCCACTCAGACCGATAGGTGTCGCAGAACTGATCCGCACACGGCTGCTGCATCAGCCGCGTCATGGCGAACACAGTGTCATAGCGGCTTGTAAAGATGGCCCACTCTCGCGCAGTGAATTTCCTCCCGTTGTCCCTGGCATCTATGTCAGCTCCTGGTCAAGAAAGCAAATGTGATTGTGTGATTGGAGTTAGAATTTGTTATTACCATAATAAATCTGACTTGTGAAAAGCGCTCGCATCCTCCTAGAACTCATAATACAACTAGGAATCTGCTCCGACTTGTGCCACCTGACCACTGTTGTGTCATGCGAAAACACTCAAAATAGTGGTAACTTTAGCAGTAAAATGTAGTTAAGCAATTATTTTTTAATAATTCCTATTATTGACTATAATTCATTTGACTATAACAAAATAACTAAATTTGGAAGAATCATTATGCCATACAACAACAAACACCAAAAAAAGTGGCAAATATGGCTTGTTCACAACTTTCTTGCACTACATGTCTTAAGTTATATGGCATTTAATTCATTATTCACAGAGGATAAATAATAATGATAATATATTTGTAATAAATTGTAATATTTAATATAATATAAATATTATTTGTATGAAAAAATGTATACATACCATGGAGCTTCATATGTTAGAATGAAGCTGAGACATGTTACTTTTTTTTGCTATGCTTTCTTTTTTTTTCCTAAAATTATTTTAGCATTTTAGAAAAAAAGAAAGCATAGCTAAAAAAATTTATTAATTATTAATTATAATAATAAACAATTTTTATAAATAAAAAAAAACATTATTTGAGTGGCACATTTTACACATAAAATGTAGCTTCACAGGTCAGAATATAAAACTTTAGAAATAAATAAATAAATAGAATGTCAAAAAATTATATTTTTGTAAGAAGTATTGCTCCTGTGGCACATAATTCATAAAATGCAGCTTCACAGGTCAGAACATAAAATCACTTTAGAAAAAAAGCATAACAAATATTAAAATATATATAATATTTTTAAAAATGTATAATATTTTTGTAATAAGTATTATTATTTGTATGGCACACATCATACATAAACTGTAGCTTCACAGATCAGAATATAAAATCTTTTGTAGAAAAAAATAAAGTATAGCAAAAAACTAAAGAATAAAATATTAAAAAGACAGTAACAACAAGAGCCTAAATTAAATTTAAAAAAAACTTGTGTGACTATTGTGTGACTTCAGCAGATTTGTAATATAGTTGTTTTAAGTGCCAATGTATAGCAAGAGCTGCATTTTTTTTCTATAGAAAAAAATAACAGCATATGGATTTAGAATGGCATAAGAGTAAATAAATAATGACAACTTTTTTTAATTTGGGGTGAACTATCCCTTTAAAATCAGTTAGTAAATCTGTGGTATGATTTTTTTGTTTGCATTTTATCCTTGTCTTGTAGCTAATCATATAACAGCTGCTTTACTTTGTAGTGTTTCCTGGCACGTCTGTCAGTCTATCGCACAGTGATCTGAGGCTCGAGTACCTGCCAGCATCAGGGCTCTGACACATTCCACTCGACCCTGTATAGCAGCTTTCATCAGAGCGGTGAAACCGTGGCAGTTCCTCTTCTCGATGTCAAGCCCAGGAAAGTAGTTGAGTAGGTAGTTAGTGATTGTGATGTGACCTGCAATTGTTCAGGAGAATTATGGAAATGCAGTCAGCTGTTGAATATGTAACAACACTTCTAGAGCACTCAGCGGTTCATTTCTAGTAGTATTTGGAAGTTTTCACACTCATCCATTTACTTTGAATGTTGAGACACTAGTTACTTAAACTTTATAGTAATCTAAATGTAAATATGTGCAGGTAGTGATTTGGATTGAGGCTGTTTGATCGCTCTTACCCGCCTGAGCAGCAGTGGTGAGGGCTGTATTGCCTTCATTGTCCTGCCAGTTCACATCCAGGTGAGGACACTGGGAGAGAGCAACCACCACATCCATGTATCCTTGGTAGCATGCCACTATTAGTCCAGTCTGCAAAGTCAACACACACACAAGGCATTACTGTCAAGAAGTTTCCACCCTGGTCAGGAACATTTAGTGGAACTAGCAGTTGGAAAATCTGAGGAAAATGGCTGGGTATTGATACAGATTTCACCATTCAATTTCCATTTTGATTTGGAAATATATATGGTAAGCTGTAAACTATACAAGGAATGCTGTCCGTATATTTCTACAATATTGCATGTAAAGTAAAAAATATAATGAATATGTAATATGGCCTATATATTTAACAAAATGATCCAATCTAGAGTTCATTATAATGGCTTTCCTGAGGTAAACGTTACTTGACACATTGTTTACAAGTGTTTTACTGATTCTATCCGCAGTTAAAATGCTGATTTAGCGATTGAAAAAGATATTATATATTTCTGAAAGTTCTACTGTTTTTTCAACAAGTTGCCACTTGAATTGATTGATTGAATTTTGCTATAAAACTGAGCTATGTGAATCTTTTGAGTAGACAGCGAATCAATTCACGATTCATATTTTTTCGATTCAATTCGAGAACGATTTAGCAAATTCTGAACCATTCGATTCAGTTCCCGATGATATTTTTTCGATTGTGATTAATGATTCGATTCTTTTTAGGTGTGCTCATAGGATTAAACGGTGTTTACCAAGAAAAGTTTACTAATGAAACGTATGATGGTAGGCTATCTGCTGAGCTGGGCGTGTGAATTATGAATTCTAATCTGGCTTGACATAGGCAGATTCAAATCTGAAAATTTCACAGTGTTATTGGCGTGATGAAGCAGTGCGGCTGATTTTGGGGGGTTTTCTGTAGACGTCTGGCATGCTTGTTTCTCTCGTCACAGTCAGTCTGGCCTATTTAAGTGTGAACAGTAAGAGTGTGGAACGGAGTGTCAGCAGCGTCTCATCACTCTGACACACAGCTGGAGGCTGCACACTAAAAATAAACCCCGGACAAGCTCATTTTACACGGCTATGACAATAAGAGAGAGATGCTTCCAGTTGCTGCACATCAGATGACGGTGAAAGTCTGTGCTTAAGGTGACGTATGTAGTTTTATTGATGTTTAATATACAGTACAGAGACATTAGTGAGCCATTAGTAGGTCAGTGTCCAACTGTAAACACTGTGGCCCAGTGACGCTATGAAAACAATTTCATATGACTTCTGAGTTTCTGATTTGTATTATGTATATTATTGCATTTTTATGATGCTATTTTGGAGCTTGAATGATGGTCACTATTAACTGTTGTTGTGTCGTAAAAGATAAGTGTGAAATGTCCTTTTGTGTTTAATGCAAAACAAATCAGCATACATATGTGAAACAACACGAGGGTGAGTAAATTACATTTATTTTTGGGTGAACTGTTTTGCAGTTTTGCTTTTCATAAAGTATTGTGTATAAATACAGTTGCACTGTAAACTCATTTATAGGTAGATTTATTATTAAAATGTAATTTAGGGTGCAACCCGTTTCTCTTAGTCTGCATCTTTATATCAAACATACTCAGCTCGGTTTAAATACAAATGTAGACATGTGTTGGGGTAATCTGTGGCCTGGTTGATTCTTAAAATAGAAAGGATTAGCCTTGTGAGCCTTTGAATGAAAGAGGAGTTACAGGATTTGTCCTCCAATTCAGCTTTGACAATGAAGACAAAATACAGCATCTATGATCCTTCTAAAAAAAAAAAAAGAACAGAACTGCTTACGTTACATATCATATTTGTGGGTGTGAAATGCAAAGTTTACTTGGTTTTTTTTTCCGAAATTTTTTTGATGAATAAAAAGTTCAAAAGAACAGCATTTATTGTAAAAAGAAACCTTTTGTAAAATTATAAAATTCTTCAGTCACTTTTGATCAATTTAATGTGTCCTTGCTACATAAAAGTATTAATTTCTTTAAAACGCATCTCATTCATCCTAAACTTTGAACAGTAGTGTGTATGACATATATTTTTAAACCTGTATACATTTGGGTTGGCTTTCATGTAGTACTATTTACTTTGACATGCAAAGAAATGTTTAGCTTTTTGTAAATGCACCTCTCCATCACAGGCAGCTGTGTATGTTGCAAATACCATTTGGTAAAAGACAATACATGTTTGTTTTTTCTAGGTTCAGAACATAGTCATTAAAGTAATGAACTTAAGAGTGCTTTAGTAGTATAAATAATTATTAAATGTTCAGAAAAAATCAAATAAGATGCTGATCCATGATATCACTACCTCTTTTGCCGTCTTTCATTACTCGCTAGTGATTGTCTGTAGCATTTGTCTCTGAAATGTGTGCAAATACAGACAGATCTGCTGCCGAAATACCATCAACAGCTACAATGTTTAGAAAAATAGTTTAAAAATGAGGTATTGACAAAGTATGTCTGTTAAATACATTCACAATGTTACGGTTAAATCTGAGACAACACTAGCATTTGGACAACTCTAAAAAAATCTAAGAACCCAATTTTAAGAATGTAAACATAAAGTAGCATCTGGTTTTAGTAGTTTACTCATATTAGCTATTTTCTTGATGCTCAAAACACATGAAAATGGATTAAAGGAGCTGTTCACTTTAAATCCTTCACTTTACGCTATTTTAAAGAGGGTAAAAAGGAGTTGAGAAGCTTTATAAATATGAATTGTCTTTTAAAAAAAAATTTGAATCCAACATCAAAATTGCATTTCAAGTATAAAACAGTGAGCAGTGTGTCTGCACACATTTATTTCCTTTTGCCTGTAGTGAGTTGACTTTTCGTTATGGCCTCCAGTCTTTTCCTTTCTGCCTCCTCTGCTTTCTTTCGCTCCTCTTTCAGTTCTTTGTATCTCCACTTTGGGATCTGGAGGAGCTGGTCGTCTACACAGCTGCTTTTCCGCCGCACTTTCTCCGGCACGTAGGTTGACGAAGGAGCCTTGGTAATCCTCAGCTTGGGCACCACCATACCTGGCCTAACGCTGCTCCTCCTCAGCAGGTGTAAGGGGAGCAGACTGGCCCTGCGGATGCCCGGGGAGGAAGAGGAGGAGCCGTCTGATTGGGCCTGGGGTTGCAGACTCGCACGACGATCTTTCGATTTGGGCACCAGCAGGACGCGGGAGTTCTGGAAGAGACGTTTGTAGTTCTCGAGGCGCTCGGGTCGCAAACTTTTCAGCTGCTCGATGCGTTGTTTTTTTAGTATCTCCTGAACAGAGTACCGGCGTTTTCCCACACAGGGCGGGCTGCCGGGACACACCGTTCGACACGCAGTTGCGATGAACGGGCTCCCCAGCGATGTTGTCATGCGCACCATGTGATCCAGAACCCCGTCTTCTGACGCCTCGGTGACGTTACTGATGTCAAAGAAGTCACGTAGTGTCTCTGAAATTTTCTGAATGCAGCCTTTGGGCGCCTGAGCTTTGGCCAACAGCGCAGGCAGAAGGGGCCACTCAGACCGATAGGTGTCGCAGAACTGATCCGCACACGGCTGCTGCATCAGCCGCGTCATGGCGAACACAGTGTCATAGCGGCTTGTAAAGATGGCCCACTCTCGCGCAGTGAATTTCCTCCCGTTGTCCCTGGCATCTATGTCAGCTCCTGGTCAAGAAAGCAAATGTGATTGTGTGATTGGAGTTAGAATTTGTTATTACCATAATAAATCTGACTTGTGAAAAGCGCTCGCATCCTCCTAGAACTCATAATACAACTAGGAATCTGCTCCGACTTGTGCCACCTGACCACTGTTGTGTCATGCGAAAACACTCAAAATAGTGGTAACTTTAGCAGTAAAATGTAGTTAAGCAATTATTTTTTAATAATTCCTATTATTGACTATAATTCATTTGACTATAACAAAATAACTAAATTTGGAAGAATCATTATGCCATACAACAACAAACACCAAAAAAAGTGGCAAATATGGCTTGTTCACAACTTTCTTGCACTACATGTCTTAAGTTATATGGCATTTAATTCATTATTCACAGAGGATAAATAATAATGATAATATATTTGTAATAAATTGTAATATTTAATATAATATAAATATTATTTGTATGAAAAAATGTATACATACCATGGAGCTTCATATGTTAGAATGAAGCTGAGACATGTTACTTTTTTTTGCTATGCTTTCTTTTTTTTTCCTAAAATTATTTTAGCATTTTAGAAAAAAAGAAAGCATAGCTAAAAAAATTTATTAATTATTAATTATAATAATAAACAATTTTTATAAATAAAAAAAAACATTATTTGAGTGGCACATTTTACACATAAAATGTAGCTTCACAGGTCAGAATATAAAACTTTAGAAATAAATAAATAAATAGAATGTCAAAAAATTATATTTTTGTAAGAAGTATTGCTCCTGTGGCACATAATTCATAAAATGCAGCTTCACAGGTCAGAACATAAAATCACTTTAGAAAAAAAGCATAACAAATATTAAAATATATATAATATTTTTAAAAATGTATAATATTTTTGTAATAAGTATTATTATTTGTATGGCACACATCATACATAAACTGTAGCTTCACAGATCAGAATATAAAATCTTTTTTAGAAAAAAATAAAGTATAGCAAAAAACTAAAGAATAAAATATTAAAAAGACAGTAACAACAAGAGCCTAAATTAAATTAAATAAAAAAAAAACTTGTGTGACTATTGTGTGACTTCAGCAGATTTGTAATATAGTTGTTTTAAGTGCCAATGTATAGCAAGAGCTGCATTTTTTTCTATAGAAAAAAATAACAGCATATGGATTTAGAATGGCATAAGAGTAAATAAATAATGACAACTTTTTTTAATTTGGATATTTTTGTAATAAGTATTATTATTTGTATGGCACACATCATACATAAACTGTAGCTTCACAGATCAGAATATAAAATCTTTTGTAGAAAAAAATAAAGTATAGCAAAAAACTAAAGAATAAAATATTAAAAAGACAGTAACAACAAGAGCCTAAATTAAATTTAAAAAAAACTTGTGTGACTATTGTGTGACTTCAGCAGATTTGTAATATAGTTGTTTTAAGTGCCAATGTATAG